GCAGATATAGGTAAAATATAGGTAAGGCTTTGGCGAAATTTGAAAGAGCAACTAATATTCTTCAACCTTGTATTTTTTTATAGATTTTATTTTTCATTCTGTTCACCTTTTTTTTCCAGATCTGAGAAGTTTTTTCAAATAGCTATGAATTTTTATAATTTTTACTGTGTAAATTTGTGAATTATTATTGATCTTGTATGACATTTGACTCGTAATTTGTCGCAGTTTAACCCCTGACATTTTAATTCATTTTGAGTTCACGCGTATTGGGCGTGTTTGTCAATGGGAAAATCCTAATTCAAATGATTCCTCATTGTCGATTTTTATTATTTCTGGTTTATTTGTCACATTATAAGCAATACATTAATTTTGTTTTACTTATGATGTTGCATATTGTTCATTTATTTCCGTTGCATGTTTTCATTTGCCGTTCTATTCCCTGTCGCAGTTTTATCTCCGTGTTGTCAATTTTTGTTTTTTTGCCGGGGATATCCTGGCAAGCTATTTTTTGGCAATTTTCTATGTTCAGGACTCTGGGCTTATACCCCGATAAATATGGTAATATTAAAAAAACAGATTCGTGATTTTCTAAAAGGAGTTGAAATATTATTTTTTATTAAAAATTACATTATTATTCATCAAAATAGGAAAATTGACAATACTGTTACTAATAGAGGGGCTCAAGAAGGTACATTAGTAGCAAGTATGAAAGCAGATGTTGACAGATACCGGTAATCAGTAAACACAACATTGAAATTGATAGATAGTAAAACTAAAAACTAACATTTCTATCTATACTGACATATAAGTTTTGAATTACTGGAATCAGAAGAGAATTGTTGACAATGACAACGATGACAATGACAATGATGACATTCCATTTCCTTCCAGGCAGTGTAATAAACCAAAATATTTTAGTATACAAAGAATTCAACTCACCGTGAAACCATTTTGCTGGTCTGTTGGTTTTTGGGTCAATTCCAGTCATTTTGGGTTTTTCCACTTCAAGAAACCATTCAGTAATATCACGTCTATTGCGAGGGCGATCTGGACGGGTTTTCTGAGGTCTGAATATATTGAATACATATATCACAAGTCAATTTATTATCAAAATAGTAGTTTATAAATAAATAAACGCTGCTCGGACTGATAAGTATGATATATTGAAGATAATATTTG